AAAGGTCCTGTGTTCAATTCAGATTCTAATTTTATGGATCATTCATGTTTAATTCTCTGCTTTCTATTCAAGGGTTATTGGAGGTTTATTACAGATGAAGGCAATCATTAACATTTACACCTCAGATTCCCTTCCTCGTCCTACTGTTGTGGTACTGAATTTGCATGTCCTTGGACAGCTGAAGGAAACTGGAGCAAATGAAGGAAACCCCCATGGACCAGTGCTGAAAGGAGAAAAACCACGTGATAAACCTGAGTCCTTGTTGTCATGTTATGCAATAACTCTAATGACTGAACCGCTGTATGACTGCTCACTACAAAAGATAAGCCTGTTTCTACCTAAAATGCTGAAGTGAAACAAGTAACCCAGTTTCTTACATTTTTTCAACCCGATGCAAAGAGAATACAGTTAGTAAATGCAAATTCAACTCAGATCTACAAAGAATATGTTGCTTATTTCAGATTATACATTTGTGGAATAAACAGGAATTTGATGTAAGGGGTGTGACACTGTGTATTCAACCTTATGCAGGAAGTATTAAATATGACAAAGTCAGTCCCAGTATGCTTTGGTGAGGGCTTGATTCCCTTTTACTATCTGCTATTCTTCATGTCCACTATTGAAAATGCCACTTGTGCCATCTTAAATGTTTTTTGGACAAAGTCTTTCTTTGTGAAAGAAAAGGTATGTTACCTTTAAAGGAAAAGTCCGGTCAGCAAGGAATAACCAATGGGTAATTATTTATACCTAAAACTTATACGTTCACTCTGATTTAATGAATTTAGCGTTAATCAATAACATAGAATAAAACAATTATTTTCATTGCAATCACTGAGTCTGGGACCCGGCAATTTTTGCCCAAATATAGTAACACCTCACTCCTGACATCTTCTGGCAGTGAAGATGCCTAGTGTCATTCTCCCCATTTTACAAGCTAAATCAATGGGAATTACTAGACACCCCAGCAATCAAAAACAATTATTTAAGATTTCTAGAGGACTTCACCTTTGAAATTCGTGAGAGCTATAGTTAAAAACTGACAATGCCCACATGCATGGCAGTTGGATATTGTAATACATCGGGTAAAAGTGGAAAAAAAAAAGTTTTTTTTCGCCTTTCTAATTCATGATCCACCACGGGTTCGTCGTTGGATTGCCAACTTGAAGAGGTAGGATTTTCCATCGAACTTCTGGCCAGAGAAAAACAAGTCATTCATACGTTACTCTCTCCGTCGCATAGTGCACTGGTTGTCACCATCTTGGATAACAGCACATTGTGACAAACACCAGCACAGAACTGGGACTTGCTCAACAGCCGATACCGCACTGTGACGTCACAAAATGGTAGGTGGCAGTAGTGCTCTTTGACAAGCATGGCTGTCTCCGGTAAAGCACATTCAAACTAAAATACTAATTAATAACACTTATCATTTATTGAAAAGCATGCAATAATTTCATACTTAAAGTGCTTTCGGATAGTTGTACTCTGAATGTGACCAGACTTTTCCTTCATTTAACAGGGTTGTGTTATGAATTTTTGGACCAAAGTACAGAAAACCAGTGCAGCATGAGGAAACTGGGTGATTGGGGAACACACTGGGGAAGAAACACAGTGACAAATACTGGGAAAGTGGGAGTTAAAATGAGAAAATGTGAGGGAAGTTACTAATTAACTGAAAGAGATGACAGAGGGCAAAAAGGTACATGATCTAATCTGAAGAAGAATGACTTGAGAATATAATGAACATGATCCAGGACCAAATAAAAATGGAAATAAACATCTACTGTAAGAACTGGAACCAGACAGAATGTTTTTCTGTCAGGATAAAAAAGTAATCATCTCTATTACTGTATGTTCATAACAAACATTTGGAAATGAAATGGAAGAAATGTACTTGATATAGAGTACTGTGTATTATCTCGATATGGCTGGATCCAGTGACTTCTCCTCATTTACAAGCATGTGTATGATGTAATGATATGATGAAGTGGCAGGGTGTGACTGCATATGTAGAAACAGTTTATGTTAACTATTTTTAGTTAGTTATCTGGGACTCTCATCCAAATGATGAAAGACTGCCACTGCCACTCTGACTTTTCTGAGTAGCTACCATTTAGCAGTGTGCACAATGGCAACCCACTGCTCCCCAAGGGGATAGGTTAAATGCTTAAAGTTCATTTTATTGCTTTGTACTTGTAACAGTGTAATGACAATAAAATCCTGGGGAAAAAATATCATCTCTAAAGAAGGGAAACCAAAATGTAATTTTTCAGTGTTTGACCCTGATGATCATTGATTATATTCCACCAAGGGCCTTTTCAAAATTCTAAAAAGGTAACTGGTACATCTGTTGTGTGTAGGGCACATTGTTATGTTACTTTAATATAATAAGATCACAAAAGAAAAAAGGATGAAGCTTGGATGTGAGTAAATCCAGCAATGTTCACAAGAGCTATTGTGAAATCTTTTTTTTTAGTGGCACATTGAACAAACCATCTAATATTAAAATATTCCAAGGTTAACAGAAATTCAGATTTGATCATGGATGTGGTGGACTTTAAAGTTCAATTAAAGGCAAATCTGATGTAGGAAAATCAGAAGTCTAAATATAGTTGCAATTGGTAAGTTTTATTAACCTACATAAAGTTTTAACATGTATCTTTAAATGTATACTCATGTAAATGTAGCCCACTGCTTGGGGTAGCAGTGGGCTGCCATCGTCAGGCGCCTGGGGAGCAATCGGGGGTTAAGGGTCTTGCTCAGAGACCCAGAGTGTCCACAAATGCCCTAGCGGCTGGCTAGCGCAAGTGTTAAGTCACCCACCTGCAAACAGGAAGATTGGGTTTGTATCACAGCAGGGGGGAATACAAACAGAGTGGCGTATTACTAGTGAGTACTAGTGGTTAGGGCATTGCACTTGGAATCCTGAGGTCAACCCTGAGGAAGCCCCTTCAGTCCTCAACCACCAAAATCGCACTGCATCCCCAAGGGGATGGGTTCAATGCAGAGAGTTCATCTCTTTGCTCTGTACATGTGACAGTGCAACGCTGGGAAAAAAAATACACATGGTTATGTGTTCATTGGGGTAAGAATGTTGCAAGATGAAGGGCAAAGTTTATGCTCATAAAATATTATGCTATCTACAATAAATAGTTTGTTTCAAACCTTTACAGTGTATGTATGAAAAAAAAAATGTCTTTAGACGTTATATAATTTCTCTTTCATTGCGACCTTTTCTTAAATCATCCAAGATGCTTTACTGCAGAGGTCAACAGGTGGTCCGTGACCCCTAGGGGGTCCACGGAGGTTTTGATTAATTACACTTTTTTTTTATTCCCCCCTGCATTTTTTCCACTAATTAAAATGTCTTTTAATACAGATTAACATGAACTCAACATACTGTAGTAAACAGATAAATGGAGGCAGAAGATGTCCTTCAGTCATTGATGCACACATTCAACGACACACAGGAGCTCTTCCAAGCTGGGCACCGTTTCATTCAAAACACCTGTCCCATCAACCAGGAATCAGAATCAGAAAACTTAAATAATCCCAGGGCGAAATTACTTTCGTGACATGACTCCACATAAAATAGAGTGACTATAGGACCAGTTTGATATAACACAATTTCATACAATATATATAACTAGGGGGTCCCAGTTCCATCTCGACATCAGTTTGGGGGTCCTTGCCCTGCAAAACTTTGAATACCCCTGATTTACTGCATTGTTTTATGGAAATGTAATCATAACATTTTTTCCCGGACCACCACAATAAAATCCGTCTGGAGATACCTATGTTTTCAGTCCTTTTATTAGAGTTTATTTTAAGTTAAAAATAGAAAAACAATAGATGATGTGCTGTTGCTCTATAATGTTGAACAATCAGAGTCTAAATGAAAAAAAAAGTCCTTTTCTTTATTTCACAGTATGAGGTGATGTCATTCTATTGATGAAAGGGTTTTTGGTCAAAGTGTTTGCATTATTCAGAACAGGACAACCTGGAAACGACTCAGTTTAGACAAAACAGCTGGGACTCTCATTTATCAATACGCCAGCTGTCACATCTCAGAACAAAGCAGTATTAATTACAATACAAACAACAGAAAGCCATTTTTTCTCTAAAGAAATTATCAAACTGCTGAATTTTCAGAAATCAAACACTACACTCGAAGGTGAATGTGTTATCTCAAAGTCAAACACCAATTATTTAAACATGAATTACAATTTTACATTGATAACCCCATGTAATCATTATCTACAGCTTTGCATAAGACCTAAACAGGTTAAGCAATAGTAAACATCAAGTTTACATTTAATCAACTGTCCACCCACAATACCTACTTGTCAGATAGAGAAGACTTTCTTAAAAATGAGCAAGCCGAGATGGGAACAAATGCACACAGCGTTAAACAGGCAGACCAAACACCGTCACAGCATGGTGTTGATAAAAGAATAATGAGAGAATTGTATGCACAGCTGCAAAACACAATGACTCCTACAATGGCCTAATTTAAATGAAACCAACTGTCGGATCAAATTCTGAAGTAATCGTTCCTTCAGCAGACACATAACATATGAATGAATGTTAAATCTTCATACACACACTCTATTATTAATGGTTGAGTGTTTGAAATCCATTAAATAATCCAGTCCAGAGCTCACTGTCATCATTTTACACTGCAATTTGATATTTATGAGTAAAAATCATTTAGTCCACAGCACTGATACTGAATTTCTGCCATCTGCATGCAGCTGTCTTCAGTCACTCTTCGTGCAACAGTAATTGTAAGCGCTCATTAACCGAGAAAGCATCAAGTCCCTTGATTCTAATCTTTTCTCTCCAAAAAAACATACAGGAGCATGTGAAATTATTTAATTAACAGACATAATGAATTATTAACCAGAACTTGCACAAATTCAACGAACATTGAAGCACACACATACACTCACTTATAGTTCCTACATAAAAGAGTTGTTAGAAAAACAGATTTGCAGTACCTTTGTTTCTACCTACAGATTTTGGAGAAAGAATCCGTGGAGATTAAAGTAGGAAGGGAGACATCCCAGGAAAAGCACCAGAGAGAGACAATGAAAAGTAGGGTTAAGCTTTTGTGTTAATCCTGTATATTTTCAAATGATACTTGCATGCAAAAGGGTTGACAATCATGCAAATGGTAAGAAAGAGGAGGAAGCATGCATGGATAACACACAAAAACATATTAGAGTTTTACCATTTCATTCCTTAGAGGTTTGTTTTTGAAGTTGCATTAAAATATTTTTGGATATGTCATCAAGTATCTCTTTGCATGAAGCCTTGAAAAAAAACAATGTTAAAAGCAAGTGCTTTTTTAAATTGCAACATGGTGCTAACCAGGCAGGTGCCCAATTCCTAAAGTAGTATGACTTTTTCGTAATTCTAGTAACCTAATCTGCTTATATTTCTTCAATAATTGATAGAAATAAGTCACCTAGGTTTTTCAGTTTAAGTACTGTAGGGGTTACCATAATTATCCATCAGATTTCATTAAGTCAATTGGCCCCAATAGTCAATAAAAATAAACAGGAATTATAGTAGCTTTTAGGTAATATTGCTCTGAATTCAACTGTAGGCACTTTCTGGGGGTTTTCAGGGCTTTTCTTCTCCATTACTAATGCAACTATGTAACCACACTGAAAAAGAAACTCAAACGCAATGGTTAAGATAAAGAATGAGACGACAATGTCAGTGCAATAAATAAAGAGGTTTACAAATTGGCAAATGGTGGAATTAGTTCAAAATCTTAGAAAAATCTGTAGAAACTATTTTCAAACCAGCTGACTGGAAGGGCACAGCAACTGATAAAAGGAGGAGTGTTGTATCACTTATGCTCCATCCAGCAAGAAAAAAACTCCAGTGCCTCCTTATCATTCTCTGGCCTATGATTAAAAATACTTTAAATCACAGAAATACCATGATAGGTGATCTTACCAAACTTTATATTGAGATCTTTTTAAAACCATGATGTACCAGTAAGCAGTCTATGCCTAGTGTTAACCATTTCAAATGTCTAGATATCTATAGTATATAATAAAGTATAACTATTAGGCGTCTTTAAACCTGAGGAACCTTTACACAATAAGAAAAAATACATTTCTAGGTTCCTGTTAAAAAAATAACAAACATACCGAGTAAGGGATTGTCTAAAAGGTGTACCCATACCCAAATCCATAAAAGGTCAATTTTTAGATAGATAGATAGATAGATAGATAGATAGATAGATAGATAGATAGATAGATAGATAGATAGATAGATAGATAGATAGATAGATAGATAGATAGATAGATAGATAGATAGATAGATAGATAGATAGATAGATAGATAGATAGATAGATAGATAGATAGATAGATAGATAGATAGATAGATAGATAGATAGATAGATAGATAGATAGATAGATAGATAGATAGATAGATAGATAGATAGATAGATAGATAGATAGATAGATAGATAGATAGATAGATAGATAGATGACTGCACTATAAATTTAATTATTGAGTAAAAGTTTGGTCAAATATGATACACTAGCACTCCTTTCACTTTGTACTGGACTGTCAAGCATTGCCTTCTGTATTTTTAATATGCTTCTCCAGCCTAGTATAAACTGTCATCCCAAATTATAGTTATGTCCTGTTCTTTTTTTGTTTTTTGCTCATAAATGCCCTCTTCAAACAGTGGAAACTGCTATGTGTGTTTAACTGAAAAAATGGCAGATTTTTGCAGAACAGCTACACATCGGTGAACCAACCTTAAGCAGCAAAGAAAAAAAGGGGAGACATGGAACATGTCATGCAGTCATGCAGCCTCCCCCCACCAAACTACACACGCAAACAATCACACGCCCCCAACACCCCCCTCCCCCCATAAGCACACGCACACACACTTTTCTGTGCCAGCTCAGGGAGACGTCTAGCACACAAATGTGTGAGGACAGGAAGGAGGCAGGCAGAGTAAATTCATCCCCCAGAACTCAGTCAGGAAGTGAGTGAAAAAAATATGACTAAAAAAAGAAAGTACCTTGGTCTGCCTTCAGGTGTGCGAGTTCTTGAAAAGGGAAAAAACCAGACAGGTAGAGAGAGAGAGAAAAATCAGCACACCAATACGGCATTTGTATTGTCAGTTAACATGCTTTGCACAGTTGCAAACCATGACTATCACACAAAAATCAAAGCTTTGCAAAAGTACATCTGAAAGCTTTTTTAAGTCAAAGCACAGAAACGGCTATTAGCGGTCACAGCACTTTTCAGGAGGTACTGTAGTTGTAGAGGTTGTTCTATGACATACTTTGCCATTACATTTCCTGTATTTCTGGTAAGCACATAAATAATGAAGACAGAACAACATGAACTGTTACTATTTTTTAACTTATGTTCTGACTAATTCCTCTTGAGACTCACCTGGTTTTCTCAGGACTGCTGCATGGTTGTCACAGAAAAAGAGAGAGAAAGGCAAAGAGAAGCATTGCATTAGAGTCACACTACAGCTGAGTTTGCATGTGGATCTAACATGCAAAACATACCACCCTTTTATCACCAAATCGTCATGTAAGGAGCAAAGAGGTGCACCTTGACATGCCTGAGTTAAATAGCTAGTTCCATTATAACCCTGTAGAGAGAAACACCAATATTTTCATCTGTCCCATCCTCTCATGGAGTCAGATTAGGATTATTTTCTGGTCAGAGCTTTTCACATTTCAGATGATTGCATTGTTATATTTCACATCTTGTATCACACAGATTTCCTCACGCCTTTAGAAAGTATACATAAATCCACACCCTAAAGGATTTATGGAGCTGTGAGGTTTGTGGATCTCAAGATGCTTGTGGTCAGGCCCATGTTGTTGTTTTTTATTGACCCACTTCCACTATTTTTACCTTTAATCCAACAGCTGTGGTTTTATATATTTTACAAACACTGTAGTTTTTCAGAGGGATGCTCACTTTTTGATACATATAGTTGTAGACAATATGTTATGGCAACAACAAAAACACACGATAAGTCTAATGCTCAGCAGGGTCTGACCTTAGGATGACATCGGTTGCACATCCCAGAGTGATTCAGGGAGTAGATCACTGAGTGAGTTTAGCATCAGTCAAGTTATTTATAGTTTTTATTTTATTTTTTTTACTTCTGCTTAAGCTTTAGAAAGCATTGCCTATTCATGAACTTAGTGCCTGTGAGGAGTGAAAGGAGAAAATTAAAGAAGTCCTAACACCAGTGGAATACATCTGGCTTTTTTAGTATCACTTTAACCCCATGAAATTATACACAGCGCCTAAAAAAAATTTACAAGTCATCTTTGGCATTCATGTTGAAGAATATGAATATGTTCTCTCTTCTCTCATAATTGCTTCCTTGACAGGTTCAGGCAATAGGTTTGAAAACTTTTTTAGTAGTGATTGAAGGCATCAGTTTTGGGTTGTTAAATAATTTCTTCTTTAGCAATCTCTCAGTCCATGTTGATCTCAGGTTTTCTTCAGTGTGGAGAATGAATCAGGTGTTCCAGCATCTTCCATGTTAGGTGTATTCCTAATCTTCCCTAAATGTCAGATTGTTGAAACCGGGACTAAGTTAAGGTAGGTTAAGGCTTACAATGGAACAATAAGCCATGCTACATATCAGCTTACCTTCTAATGGTCCAATAAAGCTGACATTAATCTTCAGAAATGGTTGAAAGCAAGAAACTAATGGGTTTGTTGAAGCCTTTTTAATTTTGATAAGGATAATTGTCAAATATCCAGCCAGATTTAGGAAAAGTTATAGTAAGTAGCTGAACCTAATGGTTCTCTGCAACTTGTTACAATACATTTCCTAAACTTTAATTGGGTTAGTTATAAATATTAAGCCTTGAGTATAAATGTGACTCTGTGAGGATTAGAGAAAATATACAGTAAAATTAACTCTTAACCTAAATCTTCCTTTTAAAAAATCATGAAGCTTTTGCTTTATACTTGGTCTTCCTGATAAATTTTTACTTTTATATGCATCTGCTCAAATTATTATGAAATCTATGACAGAGATAAATGTGCAGGTTCTATCTTTCTTCCAACACAAGATGGATGACATTGGTGAAGCAAAAAGAAGGGCAAAGCATGGGAGAAAGAGGGGGAGGGAGATATATATTGTGCAGGCTGATGGACAGCAGTGCAGTTCAAGCTTGTGAGAACCATAGGCCTGAAACCAACTAAACGATGTGTCTGAATCAGCAGGTAAACGATTTTCTCCTAACATCACAGATGCTGGCACACATAAATGTGCACATACTGCATGCTAGTTAAATTGCCAAATTTTCCATGTAGATTAAACCCTTTCTCTTGATGCGGCAGCGCTCAGAACAAGCCAATGTGCTGCAGAGGACATGTGGTCCAAGCGTAATCCCCTGTTCTATTTTACCAGCAGCTTCACTCCTCAAATCCAAACATAATTTTCAGCTTGGGCACTACACACAAATGCCCTCTGCACTGGAATCAGGCAAGTCCCTGAGCCATTTTTTTTTTTCCATCCTGACCTATTTTTATAGTAAGATTATAGCAACTGTCATTTTTTCCATGTCTCTTTATTAATCCCCAGAGCTAAGCCCAAAGGCAACGTTTCAGCACTTACTTAACAGTTTGCTTGTTCTTACCTTCAATTATACAGCATTTTGTCAGGTCAATGCATAGTTGTTTTTTTATAAATATGCAACCTTAAATGCTTTATTAAGACTGCATGGTCTGAGAGTCTGAAATAAAACCAAATATAAAAAAGGTGATCATTTCACTTACATAAGCCTTTGTAGCTCCTGCTAACCTTGGATTAATGCAGCTTTTCTTTAAATGGGAAAGCCCAAAGGTATTCAGAGTTTTCAAAATCTAACGACCCAGCAGTTAATTGGCCAAATCAGTTATAATTACCAGTCCCTTGGTATATTTACAGAGAAAATAAAGCATGTTGCTTTGGCAATAAAGAGTTTGAAAAAAAAGATACAATGTGTCTTTCTAAGATAATCATCCACCTTTCCTTCACATTTTTGTCACAAATGTGACAGAAAATGAAATTTGGTGCAAACGCAGAGTTTCATTGCCTCTAATTGTGAATTTCTATGACAGACAGACACTAAGCAGTGCATAATTATCTAGGGTAAGAGAATTATACATCGTTTGTAGAGTAATGTGGAATAAAAAAAATGTGGCTGCAATTTGTATTCAGCCATTTGAGTCAACACTTTGTGTCTTCTATCCTTTTTACAAACCGAAGGTTTAAACTATTCCAAATTAGCTTAAGCTCTATCGACATTAACTCAAAGCAGCTTTCCAGTCTCTTCTTAAGAAAAGCATTCCCACAGCATGATCGTGCAGAAATAATATTTAATAGTGGGGAGGTTGTTATCGCAGTAATGTTCACTGTTAGGTTTTATTCACTATTGGGGTTCTCTTTGCTGATTCTTTCATTATTGACCTCCTTGCAAACCCTTTTGCTTTAGATGTAGTCTACTTACTGATTTCTGGAGGTTTTTTATGGTTACCTGAATAGAGAGCTGAACTTAAAAAGTCCACTTATTTTTCTATTTGTAGAAAGATTTGAAAACCCTGTATTGATTTTTTTCTACTTCAAGATTATGCACTACTTTGTTCTGGTTTATCATACTGCAGAAAAATCAACAAAATGAGAAATACTTAATTTGCAGAGTGTTGCCATTAGGAAATTAAGACAAAATAATTAATAAGAGCAGGGAATTTGTCTGCCAACGATAGAAAGATGATGAGATCTATGGCCAAGTTGAATAGGTTAAGGAAATTTTCCAAAATTCCTTTATTAGAGAAATTGTCTCAAACACTGGCAAAGTGGGTCAGAAAGTTTATGCAAGCCAAGCAGCACAAACAGGCTTCCCTTTCCCCCAATTTTCACATTGTTCTTCTCTGATGTTAAATCTGCTCACCCCTCTCATATTTCTGCCAGGCCGGTGGGCTACTATTAGGAACAAGGCTGGCAAAATGCTTTCAAGGCCCAGTCCGCTCAGTCAGTCAGCCATCTGGCTGCTTTAACAAGTAGCTAGAGGGCCTTGTCCGCGTTAATGCATGTGATTGCACGCACACCACTGAGTACAATTGTGTTTGAGCACAGGCTCGCAAAACCTTAGACCACACTGTGTGATAATAAAGCGCATAAATATTCACAGGTTTGACAGATTGCTATTGTTGCTCATTAATGCATGGTGCACTCACAGTATACCAACAAAGACAGGTGGGCTAAGCAGTTGGTCATATGCTGCTTCAAAATTTTTTTTAGAGTGTTGTTACTCTAAATTGCCCCCTGAAAATGCTTTATTCACTCAAGCAATGCTTGAACAACAAGTACTTTGCCACTTGATGACATGTGGCCATAATAATAAAAATAACTGTGGCTTATTTGCCAACAGACAGTCTAAAATTGACGGTGGTGTTTGTGCCGCCATTCTCCAGGCAAATTAGCCATCTCTGTTCTCATTATCTCTCTAATTATGGTTCCCCATCTTTGTTGCATAATCAACAATCAGCCACATCAGTTAATAGGGAGGTAGAAAAGAGCAGCACTTGGATCAAACATGAGCATGCTCTTGGCTCTTCTCCTTTTCTCTTTCAAACCAGTGCAAAATGACAAACAGGGGTGGTTTGAGGGTGTGTGTGTGGGTGAGGAAACAGTGGGCTTGTGGTTGAAGCACCACAGCTGACCTCCTGGGACAAATTAGGTTACAAAACACTGTTACTGAATTTACCCGTCACACTTCCTCTGCCTCAAGGCAATGAAATGACAGCCTCTTCCCCTGTCTAAGCTATTATTTGGCCTGAGTAGGAAATGCCCTCTTAAAATCCTGGATTGTTTTTACACAAAGATGTCACAGTTCTCCCCATCAGCTTTCAGACAAATGGACCACCTACCTACTTCTCTATTGACTCTTCAGCTCAGACAGTGAGCAAATGGGATGAAGCGAAAAAGAGGTCAAGTCCACTCAGTTCGCTTGGCTGCTCTGCAACCAGCACATCGCGTGCTGTCCTGACCAATGCCACAGGCAAGCACTGAAGATTTAGGCTCAAAAGAGGTTCATTTTTAGAAGCAAATGTTGGAGATATTAGGAAGCAAAACACCTTTAAATACATTGACACAACTGAGAAAAATTTCTTTTTAAAATATATCTTCAACAAATGATAATTTTGTATGTCTTCCCTTTATTAGTTGTAGTTCAAAATAGCTTGAAATCAGTGCAGAAGCACTTAGTGAGCATTCCCCTGAGTTTTAAGTCATCTCTGAACCATTTAAGTGTGAGTCAGACACACAGGAAGTGGGCCATTATTGGATTTTCAACATGGGTCTGTTAACACAAAGTGATCCTCTATGATCTATAAGAATATAGTAAGGAACTAAATCTGCAATATTAGTGTTTATTGATTTGCTTTTTTATTTTTGGAATGTAGATCCCTTTCTAAAGGTAAAAATACTTACACCCCTTAAGCTTTTTAGCTGCAAACAACTTAGCTTGATTTGCTTTTTAAGTTACAAACTTACGTGGTCACTCTTATAGGGATTAAATGTGATGGACCAACATGTAGTAGAAGGTAAAAGAGGGATAAGAGAAAAACCTAAGTAACAATGGTCTTTTTACAAGTGAGGCTGCAAACTGAAAAAGGTGTTTATGTTTAAAGCATTAAAAGAACACAGATATAATATGATAGAACATTGTCAAAGAGTTGCATCTTATTACATTCCCCTAAGAAGAGATGGCCGTAGCCCAGAAGCAGAGCAAAAATAGGTAATGTTTCTTAACCAAACTTTATACCTTTAGGTCCCTCCAGCACCTTGTCAAATCTGAATACATTTAATGAAGAAAAAAAACAGGAGTAAGAACCCAGAGTTGTAATTTTAGTCACATCAGCTAATAGTGTATCCACCACTGCCTCATCAAATGTAATAACAGTGAAGGGAGAGGAAATGCTGAGCACATCACCTCCAATTTAACTCCCACGTGAAATACAGAGATTTGCTTAGCTTTATGTGCAACAGCTCACAAAGAAATATTCAGACTTCAAGTCTTGCAAGATCTGCATTAAATATTTCAAGCGCAGAGTCGCTCTGGCTTGAGAGAAATTACGCTGATTCGTAAAGGCATTGCTGCAAACAATGACCATTTTTCAAGGCATTTTATAAATGAATAGTGGTTGTGGAGCAGATCACATTAGGTGAGTGGCAATGCAGTTATGGAGATTAAGACTAATTCCTGAAGCTTCTATTGAGATTTATGATTCAGCAAAATACTTTGAGGTCTAAGCCACACAATAAGAGATGGGTTTAACAGTGTATGCAAAATGTTTGAATATTAAGAGGCTTTTTTTCTAAGAACCTGGAAAAAACACAAACCTGGTGTTACGTCAGATCTGAATTCAAAGGAAACCCTTCTATTTTTTTTTACAAAGTCGTTAATGAATATATATTGCTTGACACAGACAAAGACAAAGCCAGCCCTCTTACCTTCTGTGCAGTATTGACCCACATATCCAGTTTTGGAGCAGTCACAGTAGACTTCTCCATCTGCCAGTGAGCAGATCCCACCATTCTCACAAGGGTTTTCTGTGCAAAGGCCCATCATCTCCAGCCGGACTTTCTGGCTGTTGACCAAAGTGGGCATCTTACTCCCATAACTGAGGTTGGTGATAATTCCTTGGAACGGTGGAAGGTCACGGACAGAGGGCAAGGTGATGGCAGAAGTCCGGATATCCTTTGGAAGCCCGCCCAAAAAGAGGTCACTGATAATCTTCATGAACTGCCGCTGGGGCCGCACCTCTCCGGCCTTAGTGTGACCGTCCACAGCTAAGCTGGTCCACAAGTTCTCCCTGTTGATGGCAGCAAAGTGCCAGCGGCTGTCATTGACCAGCTTGTCAGAGGTGATGGTGGTCTCAGCGCAGTCAATGCTGACATGGAGCTGTAGCTTTCCCTCAGACAAGGCAAGCAGCAGGAAGTCGCAGTATCCACCATCATCGAAGTAGAGCAGCAGGCCTTCAGATTGCGACGTCTTGAACTGAAATGTCAGGTCACTTCTAGAGCTTGCGTCCCAGCGGACGTAACGAGCCCACTGGTCTTCAGAACCAGTAAACTCTAAGCCTAAACTTAGGCTCAAAAAGGAACTTAGCAGCATAAGAAAACGTCCAAGTAGGCCGTTAGGATTCATCATTGTAAATGACAGGGTGTACACAAGAAGGCTGGAATGTAGGATATATCCTCAAGGTTGTAAAACCATCTGTTCACAATTCAGCTCCAGTGTTTACCCACTGAATGTTATATCCCATATAGATTGTCTATGAAGACAGCAAAATATATGTTTTTACTTTGTTGAACAGATATGACAATAGATGGATTCTATTATCGTCTTCCAAGTCTATGATATGTTAAAAAAATACCCTCTTTCTAAACAGAGCAAAAAGGTGAAAGAGTAACAATGTAGGCGATCCTTTCAGTGCTCTGTCAATGATTCAGAACCGCATCTGGTGATTTAAGTTTAGGTCTTTGAGACGGCTTCCTGGATTGAAGCATGTAGCAATCAGTGCTGACCAAGTTTCATGCCCCATGATTCGGTCTTCAGCTTAGAAAAAAACACCTTGGACAGACCTGGTGGGGGAAAAAAGATGTATGAATATAGTTCTTTCAGCAGAAAATAAATGTTCAATTCAAACTTACAAAACTAATTTGGTGGGTGTGTGTGTGTGAGTTGGATTCATACAACAAATCAGTCACTTGTAATACACACACTGAGGTTTGACTCAATTAATGGAGCATAGTAATAATAAAAGTCATATTGAGCATAATAAAGTAGGCACAGAATGTAAAAATCCTCCCTATGGATAAGAAAGAAGATACTGCGAAACCCATTCAATGATGATCTGATTCTTTTATGCATCCTATAAAAGCATCAAAATATGCACTAATAACAAATCTTAAAAACCCATGAGATCCATGCCATCTCATCAGTCACTCTGCTCAACAGAAGACATTCTCCAAGTTTAAGATTGACCTCAGATCATATTTCTCATATAACATATCTATGACTGAGATAAAGAAACAAATTAATCTCAGAGACCACTTCTGTTGATTCCATGACCACTGGAAATCCTTTGAGCTCAAGCTGAACGAGTGATCAGCATCAAATGTTAGGCTGCTTGCTGTAAGGGCCTGTTGGGATTCTGAATAGTATGACTAATTATCCACCACTACTCTTTCTCACCATTTCTCTCATTTATATTCTTTTAAGGGATCACAATCACATACAGAGATACAGAGAGTTGTAAGGATTGGAGATGCATTTTATATTTGAATCCAATTGTTTCGTCTGGTAAATAGATATCTAAATTATTTCTGTCACTAAGGGTACACTGTTAAAGAATAACAACTAAGGCACAACCTTCGCTTGCCACAACTCCACTTGTACACTTCTGTTTAATTTTGCTCAGCAGAGCTACAAATGATGTACAAGGTGAAACCTTATATATGTGTGTACTCTTCCAGCCCTTTGCCCTTGCAATTGTTTTGGCAGTGGGCTGCCATCCAGACAAATGCATTGTCCAATCATGACAGCAGCACAGAACCAAGAAACACAATAGGCCCTTTAACCACCTGCCCTGAATAGTTAATCTTGCTGCAGCAGGCAAGCTATTGAATTCAGGTAACCGATACCTATGCTAATGCACTGCGTATGCTCGCATATGTGTCCTAGTACTGCTCTGTGTCTGACAACTCTGTGTTGCTTAGATGGATGATTGTCTTTGTCTAAAAAGAGAATGGATCAGAGGTTAAAAGGTTTTATTTGGAAAAATAACCTTCTACACTGCTGTGTTGGTTCAGCCCTATACAATTATAAAGCATGGATGGAGTATGTATATAGGGATGGGAAGATTAGGCACCTGGCTTCGTGAATAGGCAAAGCTGTATATGAAATCTGAGATGGGAGTTGGGTATACTAACAAGCCAGGCCTTTTTTCAGCTAACATGACCCAATGTGTGTAATGCCTGACTAGGCTATCAGGTATACCTGAACGCCATTGATTTAAAGAGAATGCTATTATTGCCAATGTTCTGATGGATAATTTTCTTCTTCCAATTTTAAGACCTGAAAAATATATATATTTTTTTGCATAGTACCATAATAACTCATAATTTATATAATGATTATTTTTTTCTATTTTGTCGCATTTTAAATTACAAACTTTAATACTGGGATTTAAAACCAAAACAGTTGCTCATACTTGAAAAATGCTATAAGGTTTTTCCTATTGCTAAATCTAAAATGTGTACCACAAATTGGAATTCAGCTCAAAGTCATTACTTTGTAAAACCAAATTTGCTACATGTATGGCTATAACTCTTTTTGAGTTTATATCCATCAATTTTGCTATAATCACGTTCCATCATGAAGAAGATTTGTTATTAAGTCTTTTGTTTTTTAGTTAATTCAGTCTCACTGCTCTGCAAAAAAGGACCAATTCTTGAATGTCCAATTACAGTAATAGCTATTCTACCAACATAATCAAGCTAGCAGTGTTATCAGTCTGTGCGGCTCCTCCAGAGCTACCATGGTTAGCTTTGGCTACTGATTAACGCTTTCCTTGTCCCTGCCCTGTATGCTTTGCTCCTTGCCTTCTGCTATTTTTTTACATAACCATTCTCTAACAATCCTTTGAGGCCAGTAAAGCTTAATATTTCTGAAGCCTTGAGTATATATAGAAATGCTTTACTGACAAATCCGCTGATTTCCTCAAACAGTTTGTAACAATGGGTTTAATTTAGGAATGCTAGAATAAAGAAAGATGAGTGCAAATGCATGGCACTTTTTAAAATTTAATGATAAAAAAAAAACATTCCCTAAACTTAATAGAAATGTACTGCTGCTGTAATGCCACAAATGGAATGTCTAATGTGGTCTACAAGCCAACTTAACATGAAATATTTTACTGACACTTACTCTTAAAGAGTTATTATGAAACAAAACCTTTAGCTAACCTCATTACTGCAAAGGCCGACATTGTTGGGATATATGTAGATATTTTTAAGAGGCGAAACATATTTCCGATTAGAGAGAAATTTATTTTTTTCCCCCCTTTCTCTAGTTTTATTTTTGGTAAAAAAAAAAAAAAAAAGATAAGAAAGAAGAAAAAAAATCTCAATGTATTGATATTGCTGCCCTTTTTTGTAAAACCCAATTCCCATTGATAGTTGGCAGTTTGTCCTGTCACAACTCTGCTAGAATAATAACAGATTTTACTGGATATACACTTTTAATTATTAACAAGTGTATGAGATGACCTACATGAATATAGTCACAGAGTGGCAATAAATGATACATTGGCACTGCAGCAGATTTATTGACATGTTTTGTAATACAGACGGGTCCCCTGCAATGCACAGGAGACCAACCCCAGTGCATGCTCATACTTCTCCTTCTGTTTCTTGTTGAGATTCCTGTCTATCACAAGCTTCAGCCTGCAGCAACAATTTAATCTGACATCAGTCACAGCAGACACATGTGTGACATAGGTTCGAACCTGTTAGTGTACTGGTCACACAAAGCAAGAATGTGCACACTCGTTAAAGATTAATCGAACTGCATAGGTTAAAATTTGCATTTTAGCAGAGTAAGGAGAGAAGAATCTGGCCCTTCAATGTTACACCACTTTGGGTTTTTGTTTTTCTTGGCTGCTTGTTTTTTTGTTGTTTTTTTTCTGTAGTCTTTCCCTTTATCTATATCCATCCATTTTCTTATACATATTCAGATCCATGTAAAATAATTTTTTTTTTGCAAAGTAATGATACTTGTAGAAACGTGATCCATACGTGATCCAAACGTGATCCATACGTTTTTAATGATAATATACAATGTTAGCAGTGTATTGCTATTTTTGTGTCAAAAATCATAAGCTGTTCTAACTGTATAGTTAGTGTTGAATAATTTTCTTTGGATTTTACTAGATTGTATAGTTCTTGTCATTTTCATGATCTTATTCACATATAAAAAAAGGATTCATGGATTTAAAAGTAAGCTTTAAATGATCTTAATAGAGTCCATTTGCTTAGTTTTTTCTCATTTTACTTGTTTCGAATCTTTCATCAATCCATAATAAAAACACGCAAAAAAACCCCTCTGTAATATGTCAACAGTGTTTAGACTCTATTTTAATGTCAGGTGTGGGCAAACGCAAACTCTACCATTGTTAAATAGCTACTATTGGGAAACTGGCATTTAACGCAATTAAGCAGGATTTAAATACCTGTGTAATTAATTCAGACACTCTAGGGAGAGTTAACAACTAACTATCCATCCATCCATTTTCTGTCACGAGGGGTGCTGGTCCCTATCTCCAGCTGTCTTTGGGCGAGAGGCAGGGTACACCCTGGGGCAGGGCAACATGGAGACAAACTGGACAAACAACCACTCGGCACACACTCACACCTAAGGAGAATTTAGAGAATTCAGTTAACCTATCAGTCATATTTTGGACTGTGGCAGGAAGCCGGAGTACCCAGAGAGAACCCACGCCTATTCAGGGAGAACATGCAAACTCCATGCAGGAAGCCAGGAATTCAACCAGAAACCTTCTTGCTGCAAAGCAGTGCTACTCACTGCGCCACTGATCAGCCCAACAACTACTTCCTTCATATTATCAAAATAAAAGTCTCAAATATTGATGCAAACAGGAAACCAGTTTGGATGCACATAATGAAATCTACGTACAAGTCATATGGTGACGGCAACCGAAAAATACTTCGTAAGCAGGGCCGTCACTAGGTTTGAGAGACATGGGTGGCTTAGCCCCTAGGTAAGATATTGCGCGCGCATAGCGCGCGCCGAAATTTTTTCAGTGCACTTTCTAAGGCGCTGTCTATAAATTCATTATTTTAAGAGCAACATACCTGGGAAACACTTCCCTCACTAATGCTACTTCACCAACTAAACTACACCAGTTAAAATGTGCTAAATTACAAAGAGTAAATGGTAGGTGCCATGCATTACTGCATAAATGGAAGAAGGCAAGTGGTTCGCCACTCATCATAATGGAAACCTTCTACAGAAGACAGTTGTATAACCAACAGACTCCCAACATCTTCATAAACCCTTAACCTGGCCATTCATCTTTCCCCATCTCCCCTGCACCCACAACCTGTCAGGAACCCCTGTCTGCTTTGCAATAACCCTGTTTCTGTGTGAGTGCTTGGTGTGTGTGTGTGACCTGGACTTTGGCATGTCTTTCTCTACACCTGGCACAGAGAGAAACACATATATGTGAGGAACTTAACAATAAATGCAGCATTATCTTTGATAGATTTCTGCTTAATCTAAAGTTTAACCACAAAATACAAGTTGCATAAATGGACAGTAGGCAATAGGCAATAGCATCATTGCAAAGAAGGATATCCTTGAGACTTTTTCACATCAGTCTGACAAAGTTTTAATGCAAATAAAGGAAGTATTTTTAAGTACAATGTATTAATGAAAACACAAAATCAACAGTATATGAAACGTACAACTTAGAACTATAGTCAACCCAAGGAAGCACTACCATATCACACAGTGTCGCCCTATCAGACTGGTGGCACATAGATATGGGAGAATTATCCTGCCATAATGCAAGAGCACATAACTTCAATTAGAGAAAAGAATTTCATCTTCTTGCACTCAAAACTTATAATGCTCACACTCAAAACATGCGCTCTCTCTCAAATATTTTCTCTTCTCTCAAAAATCTTTGTTTCTTCTCTCAGATTTAAACAGATATTTTCTATATTATCACAGATATTTTTTCCTCTCGCTTGCCTCCATCTCCGCTCTGCACGGGTCTCAGTTACGCTCTGCTTGCGGATTTGTTTTGCTCTCTCAGACTGCAGTTGGATCGTTGCCTAGCAACCTTTCCAGCCAATAGAACGACAGCCTCGGAAAAGGTGCGCTTGTTTAACCCTACGGAGTGTGCCTGTGCTACTACGCCACTTATAAAGCGTCAGCTGAAACTGCTATTTACAGTAGTTTTGTGGCTGATTGCTGTTTAGAAATAGAAAACCTGGTTTCATTTCTTAGTTTTGCCCTGGATTTTGTAGCGTTTGTGGACGCTACGTCGCTACTTGATCAAAACAATAACGTCGCTACAGGAAAGTTACTTGATAAATAAAGCAGCGACGCTACGGTCAAGCTACTTGAAAATGTAGTTAAACTAATAGCTTCGCTACATGTAGCGGCGCTACTGCCCATCACTGCTCCTGTGACAAAACTACTATAATGATGCTAGTAGGCTACAACAACATCGTGTTTTCCCACACCACTGACTTTGTTCACCATGGTAACGTAATTCCTACTGAATCAGACAAGCTATTAGGCCTATATTGTCTCTTTCCTCACTCCAGGTAAAGTGAAGAAAATGTAAACCGCTGACATCAAATGGCAAACTCACCGTATGTATCTGCACGCAACCATAACTTTCCTAATCAAGCTCGATGACTGTGTGGAGATTCAAAGGGCGCGCTGTTGCTGCACTGCACAGCTGCTATGGTCCAGTTGATGGCCATGTACCACGTGACGTGACGCTGGACGCGGAGCCAATGAAGGAAATGAATATCCTAACGATATTAATAATTGTATAAATAATTGTGTTTGTAAATAAACTAACAGGAACTTATCTTCAGATTAACTTGCCTTCTTGGTGGCTCGTTTTCAGTGCTTTACTGCAATTTTTTGGGGTTATATGGAAAAAAAATCAATAAATAAAAAAATAACAATAAAAATCGCAAAATAATTATGGGGTGGCTAATACCAACGAAGGGATGACTTCAGCCACCCTAAAATAGGTCTAGCCACGTCCCTGTTCGTAAGACATACTTCGTACACATAAGCTTCTTCCCTAGGTCTAAATTATCTAGTTGAACTGATAAAAGCTGTAAAGATCCTGACCGGACTCATCTAAGTACAGCTTATGATATATTAAATATTTATTCTGTGTGGGGAAACACAATGCCTTTTTGGCATGAGAACCATCTTTAGCCTTCTGCGGTAAGCACTAAGCATAAGAACGGAAATGTATGACCTAATAAAAGGAATAAAAGCAAATATTTAAAACATGAGCGATATGTGGAAGTTCTTCCAAGCTTTTCTTAAGAAAATAACGCCACTAGTTCTATCCCACCTGAAATCCCATCACGTCTGCTTTTTGAGAACCTAATAATGATTTCGTGTCGTTTCACGATAAATATGACTCTAGAGAAAATTATATTTATTGGAAGTCATTTAACCACGGTGCAATAGCTTATAAGAAGATGGGCATATCTATGTAAAAGTCAAGTAGAAGCATGAAATAAAAAACTTAACGGGACAAAAACCTGGAGCCCTTCATAGATCACGACAATTCCCCCCCACCACCCCTCAGTTTCTCGCACTATCGCAGATCGGCTGCCGCTCGAGGATTTCAGCATCCACAAGGCATTTTTTATTATTATATTAGATTCAACATTTCAATTTCGGTAGATCGAACCCATTTATAAATCAGGTCGAGCCAATTTCTGCTTCATATATGTCAGAGCAGCCACGATTCGGGCAACTGAAACTTTCAGTTTCGACATTTTTCTTCTTTCATCATGAAACGACTCTATTAGCGAAATTACATTTTCATAAGTCTGATAATCTGCCGAAATGTTTCTGCCCATCAAGCAGCGCGTTCGCATACAAAACAGCAAACTGTAGGGTACGCGAGAGATTTCAAACTATGAGCAGAGCTCTCTCTTAGTGCGCTTAAATCCGCATCTCTGCCTGAACTCCATCAATCCAAATCCCATCGCATATGCGAGCGAAAAAAAAAATCCAGACCAACTTCAGTATTAGGAAACACAGCTTAATATAACATCCAATGCATAGATACAGATGTTTAAGTTGTAAGAAGCACAAGACTAACACATAAGGAGGGCTGATTTGCTTTTACCTTACCGCTTTTGACTCCGGATTAATGAAGTCCGAGTGTTAAAAAAAATGAAAGAAAAAAATACATATATAAAAATTAAGAGAAAATTCCAAAGCAGAATTCCATTCGTATCATTTAAAGAAGAGGTGTTGATGCTCGCTGTTAGGCAGTGATTGTAATAGTAGAGTGCGGTGAAAAGGAAGCGGTCCTCCTCTCCTCTTCTCCGGCTCAGTAAACGCGCATCGCTCCACTCGGCGCAACTGCTGATGGGCCTCAGGATTTCTCCCACACTGACCCGCCTTCTAACAGAGCACTCAGCACGATGGGAGGGTGGGGGTGGGGGGCGTGGTGGAGGACGGGAAAATCACTCCATTTGTAGAGACAACAGAGGGGGAAAAAACTCCTGAAGACAAATAAGAGAAAAACATAAACTATATTCTTTTAATCAGACATTTTAACTAATCAATAAGAGCACGTGAAGCATGAAGGGTGGTCAGGCTCGTTAGAAAATGTGTTCTGTCTGTAGCGAATGTGAAATTGTTGGATTCCAAATAATATCAACACAAGGCCATTATCATGATATCAGCACCATGGACAGCTCCTCTAAAAGCATTAAATATTCCTCATACTGCAGTTTCCACAGCGGAGGAGCAGCGCAGATTTATTGTTGCTGTCCATGGTGCTGAAAGCTTGTCAGGGTGTTAGGAGGAAAAGTAGCTTGAGAATCCGAAAGAATGGTATTAATATAGTATTTATCACCACAACAGCTGATCATCTTGTCGTTTTAGTGTTATTAAAAAGCTCTTTATTTTGCTGGTTGTCAAATGTCTTTTTCACATTAGTTCGCTTTCCACTATAGTCAACACTGCTTCGAAGAATAATCATGACCTCTGTAATTAATAATATCATTCTGATAATACAGTTGTATGCATATTTGTCTTTGCTCTCAAAGAACACTCATCCATGATCAAAAAACGGAAAGAGTTTAGTATTAAGACAGATCTACTAAGACATGGCAGTCTGCCAAAATTGTCACTTTCCAGCAGAGCAACCCTAATTATACAGCCTGAGTCCAATTGTTTGGATTCTTTCCCAATCCTTGCACTCAACGCCCATTGCTTTGTTATGTTGCATATTTGTCTCTGCACTAGCACCCCTGATTCAGAATTTTGCATTACATCCTCAGTAGCTTATAAGTGGTGCAGAATCATTTTGATCACCATTTGATTTATGTAATGTCAGTAAAGCAGTCAAACTAATGCAGTGGTTGCTGAAAAAAAATGACTAGGCACCACAGGTTTAGATCAAAGCATTTTAAGGGGTAGAATGTTCCAATCAAATCATACACCAAATCTAACAGAGACTCTATTGCAATAAAAGTGGGATTTAAAGGCCTTTTGTGTTCCATATGATTGAGCTGTTGTGCAAAAACAGACAAATAGTGTTGTTTCTGAATGCACTTTGCTTAAATAGATACTCTGCAAAAGCTATACAATGGAATAGCAGATGTATAAAGTATTGATTTAGTAGGGATAATTGCAGGTTTTGATACCTCTTTAAAATTATAAAGCGCATAGTTTTGTGGATTATAATTGGACCAATTTGTGGAAAAAAAATTTATGAATTATTTTTCATGGCAATACATCGGTTAGACTCCACAGGTGTATATATAAAATATTTTGGCTGCTTGAAAAACTCCTTGTTTGACTCCTTGGCACAGAAATCAACGTTACCGCATTACTAAGAGATCAGGATCAAACATCCCTGTAACATGCAAACAACAAGAGCTAAATTTGGAGATGTAAGGTGTCTCTTCCACTGGCACCTGTTCAAATCCAAGCATTCACATTGAAAATAGATTGGTGTTCAGGAGTTACTTTTGTCCACAACAGAACTGTTGGGAGATGAGCTGAAAAGCAGAAGTAAGCTTCTTCCATCCCTCCATCTTCTCATGCTTATTCCTCCAGGGTCACAGAGGTGTCGGTATCTGTCTCCACCGGATTACGCCCCAGACAGGTCACTAGTCTGTTCCCCCACCTCACGTCCACCCACACACACACAAACAGACATATTTTGATCTAGCTAAATGTGGTGAGGATCTGGTGTTGAATTAACTTATATACATTTTCATACTGCCATAGATTGTAAAAAAGCAGCAGCCCATATTATATACTCAGCTAGTATACGGTGCAATTATGCACATTTATCTAACTGTATTTTGTTTCTGAACAACCTTATATATTATCAAGGGGTGTCTTCTAAGGATGCTTATTTTATCTAAACGTGTTTTTAATTTCTCTCTGCATGTTAAATGTGTGTTCTGAGCTGATAGTCTTTTTGAAGTTTCCTTATAACTTCAAAAAGACAGTAGACTCTTCATTTTCACTTAGCCTGAAGAATAAGAAAGAAGATCCAAAAGTGTAATTGTTTAGAGGGCCTCCCAGAGAAATGTGCCTTCACTATATGAAAAACATGTTAACATACTTTTTCAGAATGCATTTTAAATCATCTTTTGGAAAACTGCATCTGGATGAGTTACAAGATTAGTGATTTTTTTGACATGCATACTCTAACAAGTGTTTGATAAATGCAGTTGCTATCAAGTAGGAGAGAGAGTTTCCTTGGAGTCAATTAGTTGACCATGAACACCTCTGAAAACCTAGTCTTTAGAAAATAAGATGTATATCTCCCCATCAGTAGTCAGCACCTTGCCATGCATTATAGGACCTATAGAGAACAAATTGATATGCATCTATTTGAGGGTTGATTACATTCTTTAAAAAGTCAGGTAAACCTAGGCTACATAAAAAAAACGAGTTTGTGATTCTGATTAATTTATTTGAAAATATGTAACAACTGCATATCTTCTGTGAACTTATGCACGTAAAATACATCATTTTAACTGTCCTAACATATTCTGCCTATGTAAAGCATGTGTGCAGCATTAAGCGTATGCAGGATTAAAAAAAAAGGGACTTTGTCAAGTCCTTGAAATCCTATGGAAGGGGAATTATAACTGCATGGTGAACAGTTTTTCAATGAGCCACCAGGGTATAACAGGACTCAAATAAAACAATTCCCTGCATCTACTACAGAATCAGGGCCATTTGTTACTTTGAATAGAGCTACAGGGTTGAAGAAACATCTGGGCCGCTCGGGTTGCCCTGCTGTTGCTGCATGGCTGACCTGGATAGAAGTTAAAAAAAAATGTGAGAAAAGGATTAAAGAAGAAGGATGGGTGTCTAGTTATTTGGTTAGAACATTCACAGTAGTGATAAAAAAAACAGCTTAATATTGATTTATATTAAATGCAGTGCTCTGTAAACATTGTGAGATGTATCTAATTTCTTTAGATTTTGCATTCAGTTAGTTATACACTCTTAACATCCTTTAAAGTGGTCTTCATTATTATATTACCCTGCAACTCTCTAATGGACTTCCCCAATTTGACTTTCAAAATTGGATCCTTCATGCATTTCAGGTAAATTTAGGTCAATTTAAACCAACAAATTCTATAGAAATAACAAAGCTCCTAAAAAAAAAAGATGGACATCTGTAGTATTGACACCATAACACATTTATAAAAAAAACAATACTAAAATAGGGCTTTTAATTCCATTTTTTGTTAATTATTTTGAGTTAAAAGTTCCTAAGATAAAATATCTGACCAGGATGAAACAGTAATGTAGCAACATAAAGGCAATATTCAAAGAGCAATTGGCTGAAAAATTGCCAAAAACATAATCGAAAGGATTGTTTCGATGCTGGCTTTGTTTATTGTTCAGATCTCCTAAGAAAGTAATTATCAGGTAATGTGAATCCATATTCAGATATTCTTTATGCCTGAAACATCTTCTGTACACAATACTTACATAGACAGGAGAAAAGAAGTAGTCAAAGTCATTAGAAAAAAAATCCAACTTCTTTACCGTCAGCCTTGGCTAAAACCTTGTTGCGTCTTAAACCACAGGTGGGCAATAGATGGATAAGGGTCGAACAACCATCAGAAAGTGGAAAATATTTCCCTGATTACTTTGAAAGATTACATGAAAGTGTGTTTATTTGCAAGGAAAATGTAAAAAAGCTAAACAGTGCTGTAGAGTACTGAAGTTCAATATTTAAAGCATATTCAACAGTGATACTAAAACATCAAGGGTAGCATCCAATAATATGTTATGACATTATGAGGTGCCTGCTCAAAGCCAAAAGTACACTGAAATACACTATACTCAGTATAACAATCTGTTGCAGCAGTGTCCCTGACCTCTAAGCTTTCCTAAAGAGTGTTTAATTCGCAAATCACCAATATTGTTATCTCTATATCCTTTCATTTAAATAGAATAAAGGATTGCTATATTTAATCTTAGTACTTCATTAATTATTGAAAAAATTGAAGTTAAGCTAACTCTACTAAGCCTGGGGTCACATTATTTATTAACATTATTCCAAGAACATAAAGCTTAATTCAATATTTAATTTTTAAGATATTTTTTTCTTTTAAACATACCTAACTTTAAATAAAATAAGAGTTTGTATAGTTTTGTCTCCTGCATTTTTAAGATAATTTAGTGGTCTATCAACAAGATCTTGGGGGTAAATAAGGGCTGTAGGCACTTACTGTACGACTGTGATGAGAAGACTAATAGTGATACAGTATGTAATTATTAGGAGGACTTTGAAACATACGTATATGATTAAGCCAGTGGGCTATGGGGTAAGAATAGTGCAGATGTAAAAACTATTCATCTATTGCCTATATGCACATGTGCAGGAGATCATGATGCAGCAGTTTAAAAAAAAAAATATATATATATATATATATATATATATATATATATATATATATAGGTTCGGTTGGTGTCATAAAGCCAGGATCGGTTTACCTTGGGACCTAATCATGGATGGATGGATGGATGGATGGATGGATGGATGGATGGATGGATGGATGGAATTTCTCGCTTAAGGTTTTCAGCTTTCTTGTCTGCAGAGCAATGGAGGATACTAAAAGACTAATAAGCCTTTGATATTACATCAAACTGAATTCAAAAGGCTCTGGTTTACTTTAACAACTCCCCAGTTATTTGTTCTGTGATTAACAACATATCTTGCAATATTAACAAGTTCTGCATATGCCACAATGCAAAACATAGATTTATTATAGATGAGGCATGTTTGAGCTGCATGGTTCATGCATTTTGTGCTCTGCCAAGTTATCATGCAGTGAAAGAAAAGGCTAGTTTTTTTTTAAATCCTTTTTCGTTATATTTTTCATTTTCACTTTGAA